ACAGGCAATTATGTGAATACATGCTGCCGCCATTACGAGAGCAACAAATAACAACAACAATAACAACAGCAATAGCAACAGCAGCAGCAATAACAATCACAACAACAACACAACAACATTTCTGTTTCTGTTTAAACAACAAAATGGAGTTTGATTAAATTAAAGGGAAAATTAAAAATTAAATTGAATTTATGCTTTTCCCAATTAAGCGAAGCTTTTTCGACGTAAAGAAATTGATGAGCGAGTAAATGAATTGACAATTAGTTGTGCCACAAAGTTCCTTAATTTATTTAATCAGAAACACAATTTCACAAATTTCACAAACTTTTTTCTATAAAAAATAAATCTGATTTCTGGTTTGATTATTATTTGAATTTTAATTCTTAATTGAGCTTTCGAAGCGATATAAAAGCAACGTGACAAATACATTTTTTGAGATACAAAGACTCGCGCAAAATTAAATTTAATTAAGACATATTGAATAAAAAATTTTTTTTATTAAAAAAATATTACAGTCAAAATTATTTTAACCAACCGGATATCGAGAGGACCAGCAATACCATTCAGGTACAAAAAAAAGTGTCTATAAAAAAGGTTTTTTTTATGAAATACAATATTGTATCTGGTCAAAGTTCGGTGTAGGAAACGATACTTAGTGTACACTACTAAATATGTACTAAAGTATATTGCGGAAAAATGAACTCATTAAGAAAAGTTGAATCGGTCGCATGTGCTGGCAGAGAAACACTCTGTATCCGGCACGTTTTTTGTTCTCCATAAACGTCAAAAATTATTGTTACCATATCGTGAAATAAAGTTAATTCTATCGTTAACTTATATTCAAAATAACGCTTTAATTCGTTGAAGAACTTTATCGTGTCTGAAGTTATAATGGAGATATAAACATATCTACAGAAATTTTAAAATATGAGCTAATATTCGGAGTTAATTTCATATGACCCTACATGTGACCCTAATCAATGAATTAAGTCTACTTCTTGACATACCTTATTTGACTAGATGGGGCTTTATTCGATTAGTTCCAAAACTATTTTCTATCATTTATATAAAAAACAGGTGTGTCCCCAATATTCCCTTCACGACTTAAACAAAAAATTGCAGAAGCCATATGGACCATCAATTTCTAATCAGTCTGCTGAAAACTCAGCCATAAGTACGTGAAGACTTATATATGTTACATATATATAGACATACATAACAGCCGATTATTATATTTACACTAAGACTTGTACTAAGTTTTGTATGTCTAAGCATTTTATTTTTATTTATTAATAATAATAGTTTAGTTTATAAAACTAATACTAACATGCATACATATAGCTCTGGCTACTGAGGCCTTCAGCTATATATGTTTAAAAATAGTTAGAAAAAATGAAATCAAAGTAACCTGCCACATTTATTATAATACAGAGAGTTTAAAATAATAATTTAAATTTTTGACTTCATGTTTCTAAATTTGTGTCCGTTGTGTTGAACGAAATTTATTTTATATAAAAATTTTTTCCTGAACAACGTGTCTAACTTCATCCATAAACTCCAATTAAAATGACACCAGAAGAGATAGCACAACTTACACGTGCTGAAGCAGAAAATCTATTCAATGCGGGTAATATAGGCAAACTCCTGTCCTCATTACCTCAACCCATAGAAGCGACATCTCTGCTCTTTATAATTACAGCGGCCGTAGAACCAAATTTACATGAATTGTATCTCTATCGGCGCACTGAGAATGGACATATTCTACTGGGTCATATAGCCTGTCGCGAGATGGACGTACATCTGTTGTATAGTTTGGGCAATTACAGGCAATCAGTTTTTATTCAAGGAGAGGAATGGGTAGACCTCGCAACTATAACGTCTTGGGCCGCATCCTTATAATGCAAATAAGAAACAACAAATTTTTGTAGAAAAAGTTTATTTTATCGACGATTTTTATAAAAATTGTAAATCATTTAATTATTAACATTTATTAATAATAAAATATATTAATGAGATTTTATAATAACTATTGAAATACTAAAATTAAACTAGAATTGTAATGCAATTTTATTTATACCTATAGACTAAAGTCTGTGTAACTTTATATTTTAAAGATCGCTTGCCACCAAGCTGTGGTTAACAAATCGACACAATCAGGTGTGCTCACGAGTTGGAGTAACCGGTTACACTATTACTCTGTTAACGAACTCGTTACTTGAACTCGTGAATAACCCCATCTCTTGTATATAAATTGGTAATTAGTTATCACATTTCAATTCGAATTTAACTGCAAGTTCACAAAAATATAATATTTTTCCCACATAACACTTGCTTATGTCTTACAATGTACTTAAAATACATTACATACAGCAGTTTTTATTTATAAAAATATATACATATAGTCAAAAATCCGATTAATATTGCAATGCTTAATAAATAAAAAATATTAGCCCTTTACCTGAACCACAAAACACACAAAGCATTTTATTTTGCTTTGTAGGCTTGCCATTTATATGCTTTTCAAAAATAAATTGCACACATAGCGTTTTATTCTTGACTGGAAAAAATAATTTCTTTCAAGATTTTCGTTTTTCAAGCGAACATAATAATTATTTTTGCATTTAAACAAAAAAAAAGAAGATTATTACTTATTACTAGTTACTTGTGCCTAGTAAAGTAAAAAGTAAATGATAATAGTTATTTTTGAAACATTAGAAATAAGGAAAATTGAATTATTATTTTTGATTTAATTTTGAAAGGCGAAATATACATTTTTTAGTTGATTTTATTTTTCAATAATAGGTCTTAAGGTCCCTGAGCTAATGTCTGGTTCATCGCACTGCTACTGTGTTCCGTGTAAATTCATCAGATCTTTGCTTACCGGAACACAGCAATAATATATATATGTATATATATACATTAAGCATAAATAAACAAATAAAATAAATAAGATAATTTGTAGTATTAGTATTTAATACTCGTTTCAAAAAATGGCAAAAAAAAATATTTATCTATATCAAGGCTGTTCACAGCAGATGCAATCGCGGGCCAATACAAATCACTTTACAGATTGGAAGGCCGCAGAAACAAATACATACGTTCATAATTGTCAAAAATAGAAATACGTTTGTAAAATTAAATTTAATTTTATTAATTTATCAAATTCATTTATTTAGAATACTATAAGAAAATTTACTAAACTGTGGTAAATTAAAAACAGGTCGCGGGCCACACTAACATTAACCGGGGGCGGTATTTTGGACAGCCCTGATCTATATTACCTATACACCTATATCTATATACATTAAATTATTTCTATTATTACTACTACTTTTAAACATGTAATAGTTTTTTTAGTGCTTGTTAAATAATAGTGCTTGCTAAATGAAAGTGCTTGTTAAAAGAAAGTGCTTGTTAAAAGAAAGTGCTTGTATGTAACAGCAAATTGGTTAATTAAAGCAGCATTTGCAATATCAACTATATGAAAGAACGAAGTTAGATTGTTAAAAGTTGTTTAGATTTATATAAGATTTAAGAGTTAAAATCAAGTGGTTGACCCGTTTCTACATTCGTCTCCGCTTGTAACCTACTAACCGCTTAGAGTTATGTTATTATTGTGTTTAATTTAATTTAAAAAAATTGGTGACGAAGCTTTCTATGCGTCGTCATGTTGGTTAAAACAGTATTACTCAGTAGTAAATAAAAATGTGCCAAAGGAGTCGTATAATTCGGAAATTGAGAATTGTGGTATCAATCTCTGTATAACATGCCTTTTGGTCAATTTATTATGCACAATATTTCAAATAATTTTTAAAGGCAGTTAAATGATTTTATATATCTATTAAAAATTGTTTAGTTTCACGCCCCTTCTTTTCTTCTATTATTAACCAAGCATATGTGCCGTTTTTATTTTTTTGTAAGTTTTCCATACTAGATGCATGTTATTCGTGGAGTTATTTTTTGTTCTAGAGTGTAACTTTTCTCTGCAAGTACTGTTGCTTTATGTATACTATTAGAGAGTTTCATAAAATATGTCTGCCGGTTTGTTAACTGGCTACTGTTTCGGTTATGGATATCTATTAGACCTCTTCCAAATTATAGCCTCGGTAAGGAGATACGAGTGTTGATGTAATTTTCTATACATTATAAGTTTTTATTAGGTGATGTTAAAAGTACTAACCATGATTTTGTACTACAAACATATTTTTAATCAAAAATTTATTTCATATATGTATATATATATATACTGGCCATTATTTTTAATGACCTTTCACTATTTTACAGATAGCTTCATAAATCCATCGATGTAGGGTTTCTGTGATTTTTTGGCGGAAAAATTGGTCAAATGACTTTTAGCGGGTCTTCGTTTAGTCAATCTTTCAGCATTAAGACAGATTTACAGAGATCAAAACGATTGGTAATTAGACAGTGCAAGATCCTTTATTTGTTCCGAGTCACGAAAGAAATGTCGGCTTGATGGACAACAACTCCTTTTCCGTTGGCGAAATCTGGGCGCAAATATATTTTAAAGTGAAAGTCTCTTTTATTATTAATCTTATTATTATACTTGTTTCCATGTTCGTCATATTTTTTTCTTCATGATGCAGCAGAGGAATTTAAGTTCTTGAGAGTAATTTCTCCATGCAGCTTGTTGGCTTTAGTTCTAAACTTTAGTTTTCTAAGTCTTCCATATAGTTTTCTTATACTTTCATTTCATTTCAGTTGACACATTCTCAGTGATTTGATTATACGGCATTACATTGTGGTCTTTGTGAGTTTCGTGTAAATTATAAAATCAAAATTTATCTAATAATAATTGTTGATACATTTGACAGAATAAAATATCTATCATTGATACAAATTTTCCTAATAGGTATACCAAAGAAATAAATGCTTTGTGGGTTAAAAATTTTATTTTAATGATTTATATACATAAAACTGTCAAATTTATTTTGTATTATAAACACACTTATTGTTAGTGTGGTGTTAATTTTTTAATGTATTTATTATTATAAGTTTTAAAAATTTCTTTAATTTTTCTAAGTCACCTTATTTGGTTTGAATTTGCTAAATTGTGTGTAGTTCCCTTGGGAATCGCTCATACGTGTAAGTACTATATTAAAAAGTTAAGTAAATTGTTAATTTTGCATTTTTTTTTTTCGTATAAAAACTTAAGTAAAATTTTCAAAAGTAATTTGTTAAATTTTCAACAAGTTTTCTAAACCTGAAATGTGGCCACATCCTAAAATTCTCATCCACAAGCCATAGATTGTGTGCATTTTTGTTGAAGATATGATGTTGTTGTGTTTGTTTGTTGTTCTGCATTGTTTTACATTGAAACCACAACATAACATGTTGCCGTGTAAAGTACCAACAGCAGTACTAGTACTAGCAGCACCAGCACCAGCAGCAGCAACAGCAACAGGAAAAAGAGCACCAACGCCGCCAATATCACTAAACGCAAAAGGCTTTTGTTAGTATGGCAAACAGACGAATCTAAGGGGCACACGCACGAGAGTGGAAAAATTATTTTTCTATACGGCGCCGCTTCCAACCACAAAATGTGTTCTACCGGATATTGTGTAGCGGTTTTGGTGTGTTGTGTTCCTCAATGCTGTATTGCACGTGCACATATACCATATACCGTTAAGGTTAACGCCATCGATAACATTGACGCCGCCATCATTATTATTGTTGCATATGCTAGAGCTGCCTCACAACTTGACTGTGAGGCTTCGGTATTTTCCTGTAACTAACTTTGACTATATTTTTATTGCTAACTGCCAATATCAACAACATTAACATACGAGCATATTAAAAAAAGTGCTGCAATTGTTACTGTGAACCTACTTTCATACAACAAGACAACAGCACAACAATACAACTGCACTACAATATAGCTGCAGTGCAATATAGTAACATAACAATATATACACACATAGAAACTCCCACACATATGCGTTTCAGTTACTATGTGTATGCTTCGTTGCAACACTATTTCCACATGGCATCGGTTCGGTTATTGGAAGCAACGCAAATCAACAAATTGAAATTCGTTTTTAAAACTGAAATTTTAACAGATTTTTGGTTACGGATTTGTGGTTAAAAATTGTAAATTACATGCGAAATTTTCTGAGTTGCATGCTGACCAGTGTATGAGAGGTAAAAATTTTTTAATTACTTTTTGCGATGCACCCGAAACTTGATATTTAAATGCGCACAAATAATATGATCATTCCGTAACTGAACCTAGAAGTTGTCTCAATATAATTTAAACATTTCGAATAAACTTCAATTGTCACAAATGTTTTAATAATGAACAGAAGAAACAGAAAATAATCAAATTTCACCAAATTAAAATTCTATTAATTAAAATAAGAATTAATAGCTATCATACGCATCCATCAACTTTGTAGTGTGTAAATATGTGTTCACAACTAATCTATTCAGTTGCCATGATTATAATAATTATATATAATAAATTGCTATAGATTTGATTAGATTAGATTTTAAGATGGTTTGGGAACTTGTCTCCACGTCACTTCATCCTTTGAGGGGATTAGTGTGACATACGCACTTCAGTTCTATAGATGAGTAGCAGTTAAGAACGTCATTATGTTCTTTGGGGAGATGTTGCCTAATTCTTAAACTATTTTGTATATATTGACATACAATCTAACTAGGTAGTTCTTAATTAGTAATTTAAAATAGAATACAGTTGAAACCATAATAAAAGACATTATTTTTTATATAAAAAAACACTCCATTTAAGGCAACTAATCAATAATAAATAACCAGATAATAATAAGATTAATTGATGTATGACTGGGAAATTGCATGTAATCTACTTAATATTTTATTCTACTTCATTTTATTCTAAACAATTTTTTTTTTATTTTTGTACTGTGTTGAAGATTGATGCACTGTTGGTTGGAATAGATCCCATTTCTGTATCTACATTATTTGATGTTAATATGTATTTTTGTAATTGCTTTCTTGGACTATACTATATCTATTTGTAGCTAATTCAATGATGAGTTTGCTTTGATATTAGCAAAGTTGAGAAAGATTCTCGTCTTTACCCAATTTTTCTGTCATTAAAGTAGATTATAAAAATTTTTGCTAATAAAGTTTATATACCATAGTTATGAAATAATTTTTCCCAGTTTTCAGAGATCAGGTCTTTAATTATATGAAATTTAATACTAGAATGTTCCTCCTTCGTTGTCATATGATCTAAGGACCAGCAGTGACAAATTTATAATTGATATTATTCTATTAACTATAGATCAGTTGAATGTAGAGACATTTGCGTTCAAACTCATTACACCATCGTTTTACAATTGGAAAAAGTGAGGTTTCATTCCCAAAAGTAGAACTGAGTTTATCGATACATTCATGCCTTGATGATCAATAACGAAAATCATAATAAATCACGCACGACTACACTTCTTGTCTAATACGTAACTTTATGTTTCTTGTGTACAAGACAAAATTTAATAGATCATACAAATTCTTAAAAATATTTAATATGTACTATTGTAAACTATAGAATGGACCCGAAACTGAAATTACGAGAAATAAATGGTGCTGTATTAGCTGGATGAGTCAATCAAACCAAAATATTGATCAAATTTTGGTTCCCTCTACACGCGATCTGACTCATACTTTAGTATATATTTCTTTCTATTACTTATCTAAAAAGTAACGATGGAAGGTACCATTATTGACAATTACAGTTATTTTATTAAAAATAATTGAAATGAACAAAGGAGGTCGTGAAATAACAGATTGATACATTGTTAGTAGTGCATTGATGAAAATATGAATAAATATCAATATACCATCGAGAAGAAGACTTGCAGACGATTTCATAGTCATGACTTAAGTATTAAAACTGACTTAAGTATAAATTATGGCAGCCAAATTAATGATTTACTTCAGTATGACTTACGTTAGAATTGAGGCTTAGGTCACGACTGTCAAATCATAGTATATCAGCCAAATCCGTTCATACTACATATCTCTACTTACTCGTAGTCTCGTTATGTCTGCCTAACAAATGATTTTAAAAATTTACATCATGTATGCATTTTTTTTTTAAATTTAAAGAAAAAAATTATTTAAATAATTAAAAATATTATTTCATTTGAAATTCTTTCTTCGTTCACTTCATTCAAAATTTGTTTGCTCCTGACTATTCTTACAAAATTCTGGTATTGTATCCAAATAAATTTCTAATCTAGCATCGTTTAAGTTATATACAGAGGTATCATGCGGAATCCATTTTTCAATTTCCTGAGAGAATTTAGGCGTATAAATAAACACCTACGCCCCGTTGAAACTGCGAAAGCTGCTGGTGCGGCTTGGCGAAACATGACAGAAACGGAGAAGCAATACTATGCTGCTAAAAAACCTGCTCAGATTAAAGGTCCAACACCTAACATATGCAAGAAATGTCATAGGCCAAAGCGAAACAAGCCCCCTGGTCTAAGTGTTAATAATCCAGTACATATTAAGGCATCAGATATTCAAAGAAATAACAAGAAACGTAAAGGGAAAAAGAAGCATGTGAATAAGAAGAAAAAACTTTTGCAAACCCAAAACTAAAAAGAAACTTGTGTAGACTGGATAGATCGGTAAACATAAAACTCCTGTATTATTTATATTATATTATATTACATAGTATATTATTCCTTATATGTATAATTTAAAGGTGGGTTGCAAATAACAATCTGTGCAAATAATAACCACGCTTTAGAAACTCTAAACCTACATCCAGTCTAATAAAAATGATGCATCCACAAACACCTGCGATGTCTCATAGAGAACATAAGCTCTTGTCAAAACCATAAGTGGTAAGTTCATAGATGAAGTTAATTAGACACTGATTTCTTGACGATGAATTTGTATTAGTGAAGCGGTAACGCAAAGTAATCATCATGAAGAGCTTAAATAAATTAAACGCTATAGCAATAAATCCATCTCTTCACTATTATCGACCAAATGCCAAATTTCATGAAGTGATGAAGAATGTATATGAAATGAACAGGTAGAAATCTCACATTGTTTGATCCATAGATTATCCATAATTATTTATTTCGAACAATTTTTTTAGATTATAACCTGAATATGTGATAGGTGATGTTCAGCTAAATATCTTTAAATGTACAAAACGCAATGACCTTAAATATAAATTTAAAAATAAACCTAAATATGTGTAAGTTATATACATATGTGATCCAATGACTATCCACTGTTACTAATCACGTATCACTTTTCAGATAGATTCACTGCTTAATTAACAAGACTTAGTAGATATATGCAGTAGATACATGCGGTAGATGATATAAGACCTAAATCAATATTTATAAAAAACTATTATTATTTTGGAGCAAAGGTGGGTATATGATCAATACATATAATTCATTTGAAATAAAATAAAATTGAAATAAAATTACTTATTTTTAAGTATGATTATTTTAATACAATACCAGGACAATATTGAAAATTTTAATCACTATAAGAAAATGAAGAAAAACGCGAAACAAAGCAACGGAGAAAGAATTATTAATAATTACTAATATTAAAATTTAATAACTATAACTACCTATTTTTGAAGTTCTTTTAATAGTAATAATTTACATATGCAATTAAAATTGTATATATATGTAAATAAACTAGCGCCCAACTATATATAGTGTTTTTTATTTTCAAAAGATTCTTCCGGAAATAAAAATTCAAATCTCAATGCCTTTTCTCCAGCGTTTTGATAAAATTGAGTCTAGTAACTGCTGATCTAAATCTATTTAGTCTTTAAGAGTTTCACTATTGAGACTGTAATATATTACAGTCTCAATAGTATATATTCTATATTAATTTATTATGTTATATTTCATTAAAACTTAATATAACCGCGCCTTAAGTCAATTATTTAACTACTCAAATTATAAATAATCACACTTACTTAGTTATTGTTAAAATTTTTGTTTATATTTTAAAAAAATATTTTAATACAAATGTTTCGGAATACTTCGTAAACCATCTTCCATATACATATCGGAAGAAATTATTAAACGTATATTATTTTATTTTATATTTATTTAGTTTATTAATTTTAATTTTTTCTTAAAATTTTTTGGTGTGGATTAATTTTTTGTTTATGTTTTTTTATATTATATTATTTAATTTTATTTAATTTTATTTTACTAAGTTTCATTATCTTTTAATATTGCATTTTATTTTATTATAGTATGAAATGATGAATTACATATTATTTTGGTGTGTTTTAGTTTGATTTATTTTAGTTTTTTTAATTTATTTATTTTTACTTTTTTTATTTCACTTTATTTTATATTGTCTTAATATATTTTTATTTTATCTTATTTAATTATACTTTAGTTGATTTCATTTTAGTTTACTTTATTATATTTATAAAAAAAAATCTGACTAATAGCCCAACACTCGTGTATAATAAAGCTTATTAAAAAAAGTCAGCATATATAAAGTGGATATATTATTTTATATTATTTTATTTTATTTTATTTTATTATATTATATTTTATTTTTTTTATTCTATTTTATTTTATTTTATATAAGTTTAATTAAATTGGTATATACTATGTATAAGTAATTGATCTGTGTAAAATAAACATTAATACTAAAAGAAACATTAATTAATACTATATATATAACGTTAATACTATACGCTACTATTGGGTGATGTAGGTGATCACATGACTATAGGGTGTAGGGTGATGAGAGTGTTGCATGAGAAAAGGCAACTTATATCTTCTTTTACTACATTTTTATTAAGTTTGTGTTCGGTGTCTGAATGCTACCAAACGTTGGCAATAAAAAAGTATGATTTTATGTAAATGTTACGCGTTGTTAAGTCACTCAAGTAAACTCGATTTTCGGCAGCTGAAATGGCTTACCGAAATTGTGCCAGAATGGACAAGAAATTTAATGGGTGAATACAATGCGGCAACAGCAACATACCAAATATGCTCGCGGTTATTTTAGTGCTCCATACTGATTGCTGACGCCACAGCAGGATTGCCTGACCCAGTGTTGCTTGGATGCGCGAATGAGGTTTGGCGGCACGGTTTGGCTTACGGTCATTAAAAATTAATTTTCCTTTCTTGGCTGCAATTCTGATACCTTTAAGTGATGTAGGCACATACGCTTACCTCCATACACGTACGGAGGACATCAGTGCACATACAAGCTGTTTATGCTTGACGGAAATAACCTAACGACAGATAATATAACTGCAACGAAATTTAATCTAGTAGCAAACCCTGATATTAAATGTTAAATGTTCCCTTACATATACACATTGACGTACCATATATACACGTATGTGTGGGCAGGCAAGTACAAGTACTTATGCTCACATAATTTTATGGCTTATTAAATTGTTGCCACATTCGGCGGCTGATCGTATTGCTGCTACTGATGCTGATGATGCTGCTGCTGCTAATTCTGCCGCTACAGTTAGTGCTTCTGCTGTTGCTATTACTATGTAAGTATAAAATAATTAATTTCTATAAAAGAACAATAAAAAAATTCCAACAAAAATGTTTATTATTGTTGTGTGCATTCTATTGTTGATGGCAGCTACTGCTTATAACTCTGGCCCTGTTGTTGTTATCCTTACACGTATTGCTGCCGCCATTGCTGTTGCTACTTTTGTTTTAAAAGTGGAAGTCAGAATTGTTAAATTGTAATTTTAGTAGTTGTTGTTTTTGTTTCTGTGTAGTTGCTGTTGTTGTTGTTGTTTCTATTTTTGCTTTTATTACCGAGCAATAAAATAACAATAACAAAAATATTACACCACAAGCCACAAAGCCATTTGGCGCATAAACCTAAGCCGCAAATGTTGCACGGTCAAAAACTGGTAAATTGTGAGGTTTGTGGTATTCATACCCAATTGAATGATTTTTACTAATATTATTTTTAATTAAATTAATAATTAATCTGCAATGTTGCCGTTGTAGAAGCTGCCATCACGAAATCAACATTACAAAAAAATACACTTGAAGACATATAAACATATATACGAATAATTTATTAAGAAACAATTTAAACCGATGACTAAGTAGTAGTCGCCAATTAAATTGATACAAATTTAGATAATTAGATGAAATTTCGTTTTCTTGTACTAGATTCTTATCGTCATCTTCAAGCTCCGTTTTTATTTACAAGCCCGTGTGTTCGTCTCAGCTTCGTTTTTATTTACAAGCCCGTGTGTACGTCTCAGCACTTCTTTTTCAACGATGTCGATGTATCACCGATGGTTTGTTTCGATTTTGATAAAATTCTGGTTTTAGTTCACTATCCAAGTACTTACTTCTTAAATACTCAATTCGCTTTATTTGTGATGGTTATTATTTGGTCTATTTTTGGGTAATGTTGTTGTCTCAATTTGTATATGAACTCAGATATGTAAAAAATTTTACCAAATTAAAGTTAAACACTTTATGTTTCAGTTGCAATCGGGAGTTATCTCAGTGGACTTTACTTTTATTATTATGAGAACATTTATTTTCTTCAAATTGATTTTCAGCTCCATAATAGCTGATGAAGAACATAGCCTGTTTAGAGATTTCTTTTTAAGATACACATAGCCAATTTATTCGTTTTACAGGGGTTAGATATTCCAATACAATCTTAGCAGAGGATTATTTTAGATTGGATCTGTTGTCGAACCCGAAACTAAGAAAAAAGAATAATGTTCTAAGATATAAGGGTAGCAGTTATTCTGATAGGCCCAGAACCATACTGTGGTCTAGGTAAAGGAACTCTATCCATTCTTATGAACGAAGTAAAGGAAAAAGATAGAGAACGCTATTGGGAAATACTACCAAAACTCTCACCATCTAAAATGCTTTTAAGAATTTATAACCTAAAACGCTTCAAAGATTGCATAGCACAATCAAAAAATAACCTACGAATTATTGCGGGATTATTGATCGATCACTGTAGATTGAATAATCACCTAACCTGAGTTAGGAATTCAATCCAACTCAGACTGCAGATACCGAAGTGAGGAGAGAGAAACTGCATACCACACGCTTGGGTAGTGCGCGGCACTAATGCACTGGTGGAAGAAATACCTAGGAGTGTATTTCCTGGATCATAAGTATTCAAGACTACGAAATATAGGCTCTATACTGTTTTTCATTAAATAAAACGGACTTCGAGAAATACTCTTAACCGACTAAGGGGCACTAATAGATCTTTTAGGTCGCAGTGCACTATTCATTCTTTTCAATAATATTAATAATAATGGTCGCAGGACGTCAATCATTACTATTAGTAATGGTTTTTATTTTTTCTATATCGTAGTATATATTTAATATTTACTTGGTTATGTAATTTTTCTCTTAGTATAGACAACATTACATATATTATATTTTTAATGTATGGAATTTGCTGCAGGTATTTGTGTTTATGTTGAAAGCCATAAAATCTCAAAAATATATATACACACATAAATACGTATCAAATTCATAATCAAGCAAAATTCTTAAGGTAAGTAATATTTTCACAGAATACAAAAACATATTAAGAAAAAGATACAATATCAGTGTCCATCCTTAACGTGTTACTTAATTAAATATTCCATATCTTCCAAGTAAATATGTACCGCAAATCATAAAAACTGCAAAATTTCTATTATGGTAAAAATCATGTGCAAGATGAAAACACAAACAGTAAATAACTTGAGGCATTGGTCCAATGTTTGCCAGTGCTTTCATGTGCTTAGTCATTCATGTTGCCAGCGTAGTGCAGCATCTTAAGTTGTCTGCACAATGATTAACACCAATTTGCAGCATATACAGGCGAACGATATAAAAGTAATAGAACTGAACTGAAGACTACTTACTAAGTCTTCTACTAAATAAGACCATGAGAACAAGATACAGTAAAAAAAGAAATGCAAAAGAAAATCAACTTCAACAAACTCCAAAACAATAGCCACAATAACAGCAACAATAGTAACAACAACAACAACAAGAACAACAACAACAACAACAACAACAACAACAATGTCAACAACATCGAACTTTAACAACATATTAATGCTAAAGAAAAGAAACTGTGGAAGAAAATCTTTTGCATACCTAAAGGTATGTTCACACGATGCATGCAGTCATGTATTCGTGTATTTGTGTATCTGTGTGATAGGTGTATCTGTGTGATAGGTGTATCTGTGTGATATGTGTATCTGTGTGATATGTGCGATATTGCAATTGTGTGAATGTGTTTAAGCTTCGACACTCAATAACAAGCTTATCGTTGGGTTTGTGTCAACAATTTAAATTCAATCTCGGCATTGCAACACTGCTCATGCCTGTGTTGCTAGTCACTAACATACAACATACAACACGTTACAAGAACACAAAAAAAACAAAAAAAACAAAAAAAAAATAAAAAAACCTTTGGTACTAAGGTATAAAAATAGACAAGTATACATTTAGGTAAACATACCTACAAGCACATACCGCAGCCATGAATGGCAGGAGTAACACACGCTCATACATGACGCTCTTAGTATGCAAACAGACTAACAAGCAAAAATGTTACATCCTATTTCAGATCTT